CTCAGACGACTCAGATCCCCAACCTGCGGACACAGCGCCCATTCCTGTCGGCCTGGAGGATATTGTCAGGAACCTGCACGAACGTACGTGGGCCTCTATGGACTTACACGTGGTTCAAGACCGCCTGGCGGGCCTCTGCGACACGGTCCGCGCCAAGGAATTGGCCCGGTCTCCGTGTTTTGCAGAGAATGTGGAGGAGGTGCGTCGGCGGTACAAGGCTGTGGAGGAGATCTGGCAGTCCGCGGACGTCATCCCCCTCAACGACCCAATGGACATCGCGCCCGCTGTCGCCTTTGCGGCGCGGGGCAACGTCCTCGAGCTTCCCGACCTCCGGTCCATCGCCAAGGCCCTCATAATTCTGGCCACACTGCGCGACTTCGTCCAGGCGCCCGTGCGAAAAGAGCGCTTGTCCCAGCTGTCGCAGTACGCCGAGGAGATCGACTTACCCTTTGAGCTTGTAGACCTTTTGAGCGACGCTTTCGACCAGGACGGCCGCCTCTCCGGCGTCAAATTTCCACATCTCAAGCGCCTGCGTGATGAAGTAGATAGACTGTATGGGAGCATCAAGAACACGGTGGGCCAGCTTATGAAGAGCACGGGGATGAGTCAGATGGTCACCGATGAGTACATCGCCCAGCGGAACGGCCGCTTTGTCCTGCCCATCAAGAACACCTACAAACGCGCGGGACTGGGCATTGTGCACGACCAGTCCAACACGGGCCAGACCGTGTACGTGGAGCCCGTGCAGGTAATCGAACCTACCAACGACATGAAGCGCCTCGAGCTGGAGCTGCTGCAGGAGGAGGCCCGCATCGTCGGGGAGATGACGCGGCTGGTGGCCGTTTCCAAGGACAAGATCCTCCAAAGCCTGGACGCAGGGGCTTTGATCGACATATCAGTGGCCCGCGCCAAGCTGGGCGACCTGATGGGGGGCGCGGTGGTGCCAGAGGTGGGCACGGATGGCTGCATCTCGGCCGAAGACGCCCGCCACCCCGTCCTCCTCCTCCGCAACCGGAACCCCATCGGCAACACCCTCCACATCGACCCCGCCAAGCCGGGCCTGGTCCTCACGGGGCCGAACGCGGGCGGGAAGACGATCGTGCTCAAGACCTTGGGCCTGCTGGCCTTGCTGGTCCGCCTGGGCATTCCCGTCCCGGCCCGGCGGGGGGTCCGGGTGGACTTCTTCTCCCCCATCCTGGCCGACATCGGAGACATGCAGAGCGTCACGGGCGATCTTTCCACCTTCTCGGGCCACCTGCTCGTCTGCCGCGAGGTCCTCTCGAACGCCGCGTCCGGGGCCTTGGTCTTAATGGACGAGATGGGGAGTGGGACCGATCCCGCCCAGGGCGTGGCCATCGCGCAGGCCTTGCTGGAAGCGCTCTTGGAGACGGGGGCGCGCGTGGCCATCACCACTCACTATTTGCAGTTGAAGGAGTTGGCGCAGAAAGACGACCGTTTCACGGTGGGGGCAATGGAATTTTTGAACGGGAAACCCACCTACCGGTTCCGTGAGGGAGCGATCGGGGAGTCGTACGCCCTGGAGGTGGCTGAGCGCTTGGAGCTTCCCGCCTCCGTCTTGGCCCGCGCCAAGGGTCTGATGGGGGGCGGCGCCCTGAGGGTGACGGAGCTGATCAAGGAGCTTGAGGACCAGCGGGACGCCCTGCAGGGAGAGATGGAGGATGCGCGGGCGAGGGAGGAGGAGCTTCGGGCGGCGCAGGAGGCGGTAGAGGCCCAAAAAGTTGAATTGGGAGCCCGGGAGGTGGAGCTGGACAAGATGAAATACCGGGCGAAATTGGAGACCGCCGACGCGTTCCTGGCCCAGCTGCAGGAGAAGGAGAAGAAGCTGGAGGCGATGATGAAAGATGTGGGCTTGGGAGACACGAAGACAAGCGTGGAGGAGGCGCTGAAGGAGCTTGCGGCCGTGAAAGCGAAGGTGGCAGAAGAAAGCAAGCCGGAGGTGGTGCACGTCCCGGCCAATCTGGTGCTGCTGAAGCGTGACGATATCCTGAAGGAGGGCGAGGTGGTGGTCTGCGCGGGCGACCAATTGAACTCAGACAGGGCGGGGAAAGTGGTCAAGGCTTCGGGGCAGAACGTGGACGTGATGTTCAGCAAGGGTGGATTGGATATCGTCATCACTTTCAAAAAAACGGACCTGGCGCGAGCTCCTTCGGAAACGGCCGCAAGGGTGAACGCGGGACCCTATGCGGGCCTGGCTAAAAACAAGGACAGGAAGAAGAAGTGGACCAAGGCCGACGAACGAAACCTGAAATTGCTTGGACAGGAAGTTAGACACGCCTCAACTCCAGCAGCCATCACCTTGAATGCCATGCGGACCTCTTTTAATACAATTGACGTACGCGGCCTGCGCCTCCGAGATGCGGAGGCCAAGGTGGACAACTTCATCAAGGTCGGCATTCCACAGAAGCGGAAAGTCGTGTATATATTGCACGGCCACGGTACGGGTCAACTAAAAGAAGGGTTGCGAGAGTTTATGAAACGCCATCCTTACGTAAGTCGCCACCGTGCCGCTGACGATTCTGATGGAGGGGACGCTTTCACGCAAGTGTTCTTGAAGTAGGGCCCAAGAGGCGCAAAATGTAAAATAAAGTCAGATACCTCGAAGAAATGTGCATTAAAAAAATTAAATACCGATGTTTGGCTTGCTGTCGTTTATTTCCGACGCTTTGGAAGGCAGGCGGCGGAGCGTACGCGGGGGGTATGGGCCATCCCACGTTTGAATTCCAAGGTTGGTGTGTAACTAGCTCGTCCATGGCTGCGCCAACCTACTCCCTCCCGTAGGCGCCTTGCTCTTCGCGAGCATCCTACGACAGGAAATCTTACGAGCCTGTTCATGTCAAGCTTAGTCCTGCATGCTTATCTCTTTTCTTGGTCGCCGCTAGCAGCAGGGTATTCGCGCTTTGAGGCTTCTTCTAAGCAAGCCGTGACCTGCGCAGCAGTCTTCATTGCATCTACAAAGTTTGACCTCTATGAACTCATCGATGGTCTACAAATGTTTGCAGCGGCTGCTCTTGTTTTTCTTCCTGTCATTATCGCATGCGCAAGAACATCGGGGCGTTACTGAGATAAACGGGACGCTTGTCAAATGTCATACTACGGCAGCGAACGGTGCGGCATTCATCTTTGAAATCAAATCTGAATGGGCTCCTTTTGGAGCAGAACGTTTTTTGCAGCTGGTAGCATCTGGGTACTTCACAGATGTGCCTTTTTTCCGCGTGGTACCAGGATTCTTGACACAATTCGGCATCCCTCCGCCATCGGCCGTGCGGAAACGCTGGCGTGAGGAAGGCTCAATACCCGATGATCCTTCTCAAAATCGACAGATCCTTCGGGGCTACTTAAGTTTTGCTGGCGCGGGTCCAAACACACGGGACACACAGCTATTCATCGCCTTAGCTGACAGTTCATGGTTAGGGAAGTCTCCATGGGAGGTGCCCGTAGGTCGAGTCATAGAGGGAATGGATGTGATCGATGCTTTGTATGCCGGTTACGGTGAGATTTCACCGTTCAATAAAGAAGGAGTGGAACAATACAAAATATGGGCAGATGAAGATTATTTGCGGAGAGATTTCCCGAAATTAGACTACATGAAAGACTGTGCTATCATCCCAGCTTCTGCCAAGAAAGCCTCAATTCAGGAGGATCGAGGCCGGCGTGAAGAAACCAAGAGAGTAGTTGTCGGTGAAGAGCGAGTCCCCGAGGAAACCCTGAATGCGTTGTCCAACGCGAGAGATAAAGAGCCTGCGTGGACTGAAGAGTGGCCTTACACCTGGTGGGGCCTCCTCTGGGTTCTCGGAGGACTGTTCGGATTTTTGACCATGATGTGGAAGTTAAATAACGTTAAGAGCCTGGGTAAAGCAAGATGAAAATACTTCGTGCCTACCGTTGGCTTTTCTCTTTGTACACATTCAGTGCGTTATTTTTTAAATGTGCTGTAACTGATGTGGTTTCCAGAATGAACATGAACACGAATGCCAAACACGCCGTCCGCACACTCTGCATTTTTGAGCCCGTATATGCCCAGTCTAGCGTCATTCGTGACCGATGACGAGCAAGGCAGCCCGCGACGCATATTCGGCCAAAAACTTGGCGTCCTTGTGCTACTTTTCCCGACCATGGCCGTTCAGCAGGGCTCAATTGTGATGGTTAAGGCGTACTGAATAAAAAGACGACGCAGGAAACCAGAACATAACACCTGTATATTCACATCTATGCTACAACCTCCTTTGTGAACATGTCCGAGATTATAAGAGCCAGTTAATTTACCTTCAGGATGGACAGCTGCCGTCACGTGACAACCTCCCTCCCTTCAATATGAGTACATTTTGCGTTTGCCGTGTGAACGTGATACACGAATGACGCTCCTCGTGTCGCGCAACAGTTGCCCTTACCACTGGTAAGGAGAAAGCATCGCTCGGGTGCTGGTTGCCCGAAAAGGGTAATTTTGAGCCCTTCTTGGGTCTTCGTCTCTGTAACGTGCATCTTTCTGCACAAGGACTATGAAGAATTCCCCTCGCTTATGCATGCACTCGTACACAAGTTCATGTTCTATTCATATACACCGCTGAAGAACCGGTTTCAATATCCTACATTCCTGTTTTTTTCGATGAAATCTACAAATGCAACAAGGTGGCTTTCCGAGGTGTTACTCTACGATGACCGAGGAAGCCTCCAAAATTTCATACAAAGCGTGTCGGGTCCTACTCTGGGCGCGACCATGCGTGGCGTACTTTGGTCCCTTATCTCACGATTTTTCTCTGGACGACACGCCGGCTCTGTTCGCTTTCGTGTCGCTGCTGCTGCCGGCACTGCCGAGGCTCACAGACTCGCTCAGTCCCTTGATGGGCTCCACCGAAACCACGGCGTACCTGGTCCCTGGAGCCAGGCTGAAGGGAGTCGCCTTTGCCTCGCCCTCCCCTTCTCCCACCCTGCCCTCTTCCTCCTCCACGGTGGGGACCTGACACTTGACCAGCCTGGTGATCCTGCCCAGCACGTAGTACTTCCGAAAATGCCGGTCCCTCCCTATCCAAGCCTTGGCGTCCTCCGAAAGGTAGTAGTGCGGGCAGCCCACGTTGAAAGCCAGGTAGTCGCCCGCCGGGGTGGGGAAAAATAGGGCCACGTGCCCGAGGGCGAAGCGCTGGAAATGGATGACGAAGGAAGGTGGGGAGGAGGGGTTGGACGGCGACGGGGAGGGAGGAGGCAAAACCGGAGCAGCATCCCTGCCGCCGAGGTCTCCGGTTTTTTGGGTCCTTTTGCCCAGCGGCAGCAACTGCTTCTCCAGCGCCATCAAGCCGAGCTCGATGCTCTCCAACACAGATGTCTGGGCCCTCCTTCCCCCTCCGGTCCCGCCCTCCTTCCCCCCCGCCCCTGTGGAAGCACACCCACCGATCGCCTCCTTGCTTGCCACGGCAGGGAGGGCCGCGACGTCCATCCCGAGCCCGACCATAATCCGTTCCACCCTTGCGTACATGGAGGCAAGCACCTCGCCCCGCGAGACGGCCGTGCCCTGTTGAGCGCTCAATTGGGAGCGCAAAGAGATGCAATCCCTCTGGCTCTTCCCGCTCGCGTGCTCCGCTTCCTTGGCCCGCGCCTGCCAGTAGGCCGCCTGCTGCTCTGCTTCATCCAAACGGGCACGAAATTGCCGCTGCAAATGCGACTCGGATGTGCTCGTCCCCGCGACACCTGTCACGGTCGCCGTCTCCGAGGTGGAGGCGACGGAGGTCGAGGGGGAGGAAGAGGCCGCACCGCTGCGCGCCACCCCACTCCCGCTCCCTCCGACACTCCCACCAGTGCTTCCACTCCCACTCCCACTGCCCTCCATCATTCCCAAGCTGCTGCCGACCCCACTGCTGCTCCGGTCCGTGTGCATCGGGTGGCCGGGCGCCGGCGGGGGCGTGCCTCTCATTCCAGCACTCAACCCCGAGAAATCCCGCGCCAAGGACAGGATGTTACCAGGACTGCTACTGTGTGTGATAGTTGACGAGCGGTGATGTCCGTGGTAATTGCTGTGCTGAGGTTGAAGCAGCTGCTGAGACGTCTTGGGTGCCTGACTGCTGCTGTGGTGTTGGCCGCGGGGGATGTCCAGGCTCATCGACCGCCGCCGGTGCTCCGCCATGGAGAGAAATTCTCTGGACGCCGAGGACGACGACGGAGAGCACGATGCAGGGCCCCTTGTGCCGCGCTGGTCCAACAGGGTCCAGTCCGTGCCGTGTGCACTCCCACCTTCACCGCGGGCATCCTCCCTGCTGCTGCTACCGCCTGCAGGCCCGTGGCCGCTGCCTTCACCTGGCCCCAATGGTCGGGGAGATGAGCTCTTAAACGGTGAGCGACCCAGCGCACCAAAGTTCTGTGGTGGCGATCGTCCCCAACTCATGATCAAGCCTCGCGTGGAAAACCCAAGTTGCCTTCGAAAATGTCACGTTTGCGCTGGCTTCACTGTTCTTCGACTTTCTGCATTCGAAAAGTAACGAGGTTGACAAGGAAAGACTTTTTAAAAATCATGTGTCGGCATTTCTACGGTTCAAAGCACTCTTGTTGACCGATGGAATGCACCAGAGCGTTCTTGCGAGGATGACACACACAAAGGAATGCCTCCGGCACCAGTTCCTGTGACCAGCCCCCGTGCCCCCCTAGCCAGCCTCACCGTCATCGTCGCCCGAGCCTGATTGCCATAGACCACGTCGCGAAAAAACATGCCGCCCTTCACTTCATTCAAGCCTCAGGTGGCAAGAGGTGCGCGTGCCGATTACAAATGATGTGTCAAATTTGTGGTGATAGAGTAAAAGCACTCGATTATATTTAAAGAGGTGGGATGGCCGTAATAAAGGGGGGTAGACTCACGGTCACGTGAGCAATCTCATGAAGCTTGGGCCCGCGGCCCATTTTTCCCCCGCCACCAGAATGCTTCTTTTGACGAAACTCATTTTGGAGCCATACTGTCACCTCCCAACGATACAAGATATCTTGATCAAGTAAGACACTTATTCATTGGGGGACTTATGTGTGAGCTTTGAAGCGAGACATGTCTCACGCTGGAAAAGACATGGAAGGGGTCTTGACATGAACACGCTGAATGTCGATTTTTGTCATCGCACCTTCACCTACGCTCTACTTTTTTGGGTAACGTTGGTAAATTCAGCTCAGTCGGATGGAACTTTGCGTATTAAGAATTCCCGCACTGTATAATTGCAAGCCTATTTCAGGACACTTACTACGTCAGATAATCACCAGAGAGCAAGGCCGAGACAACGTACTGGCTCAAAAAATCCCGTCGACCCTTGCTTCCTGAGAAAGTGTTCAATGCCTCTAGTTCACATTTCAGGTGCTCGGAAGCCTGTGGGAAGTGAACGAGGTGAGCTGATTGACGACATTGGAGACCTTACACAAATATAATCGACTGCCCACGTACCATCGTTTCTACCTCCTCTCTCCATGGTAAATGCGCTTGACAGAACGGTGAGTCCATCAATGAGCTGCACTTACTGATATCACCTTCGGAAAAGGCCTGAAAGGTGTCGTCGGGAAGGTCAAAGCGTCGCTTAAGCTGCGAGGGACGCAGGCCTAGCCAGCATAAGGGAATACGGTAGGCTTGCGACTCAGGCATACGGAAAGATCCACATTTGTATGTCAGAAGGAGAGCAATGCCGTGACTGTACATATATCGATGATAACGAATTGGAAAGATGAGGGAAGAAATCAAGAAAAATGAAACAAGGCGGGTAGTTAAGCCTCTACTGGAAAATCAGGGCGCAAAGTTTCTCACGTACGGATTGCAATCGCAAAGTCCCACCACCGGCACGGCAAATGCGTCGACTAGCGCCTTTACGCACGCCCGCGTCGCCAAATCTGGGTAGCCTTTTCCAGTGATAAGAACAATGCCTCCCGCCTGTCCTAGCAAGCCATCACCAATTAGCCGCTTGAACATACACTCCTTCTCAACGACCACAATATAGCGGGGACGATGTTTACCGAGGCACTCCACCTCCATCACATCCGTGATCCAACAACTGTCGATCAGTGTACCGCCACAGCCGAGGCCCCCTTCCCCGTCTCCACCACCCCCATCACACTCGTTCCATGCTCTCCCACTTCCCCAAACACGGAATCGAAAATGCCCGGCCATTAGACCTTTAGCTGCACCTACAATTCCCAACTGGTGCCTTGCCACACCCAGCAGTGAAGCAGCATCCAAGACTGCTCTATCACAATCTGCCTGACACTTGAAGCATGAATGCGATGCCTTGTAGTTGTACCACACTTCTCGACTGGTAGCCATTTGATTTGACAGCAAAATCCGATGAGAAAATGCCAAAATGGCAAATATTGCGGCGTATGAACGAGCAGAACCTCTTCCACCTTCGGAAAGCTTCTTGATCACCACTCCATCCCCTTGTTTCAGTCCGGGAAGTTGTTGACATGACTCTCCATTTTTTCTCTCCCCTGGATAGTAAATTGAATTTGCCTTTGTGCGTCGACGGACCTCAAAAGTGGGGGGCTCAGATATGTCGTTGTCGCTGAGTGTCGCTATCCAGGCGCAAATGAACTCCTCGATTCGGCCAATCACTTCTTCTCTTGCAATGTCATGGGTGACACCGCTTGCATCATGAGAAGATTGATCAATTCTAGCAGGAAAGGGAGTGGTATTGGGAAATGAAGAAGTCGACGAAGATAAATCGTCGTTGTGCTTGCCGTTTGCTGAGGTGAGGAGGCTGGAAGGTTGAGCAACAGGAGAAGTAGGAGGAAAAGGAGGATGGTTTGAAGAATAGAAGGCAGCTGCATATGAAGGGAGCTCCAGAAATTCACGAGCTTGCATCTTGTCTGCGGGAGTCGCGAAGGCCTCTGCATCATGAGTGAACGTAAACTCCATGAAAAATTAACCTCCTACCCCCCCGAAGCCAGCTTGCTTCAGGTAGAGCGCGATGCAGCGATCTGCTCCCCGCCTACACCACCAACTCACTCTAACCGCTTCGAACTTATTATGATCGAATCACAGATATGGACAGAAGCAAGATCAAGATACTTCCTACGCCTCATATTCTGCGTTGCTTGCCTCTACTGTGTTCATTTTTGCCGTTTTTATCTATGGCGTCGGCATTCATTCCCTTGACCTCCCGGCTACGAAACTCTCCACTTGTGAGAGTTTGCCGACGTACCATGCACCCACCGACTTTTAGCATGCGCGAAGGGATGAGTTTTAATAGCCCACCATACACCCGCAATAATAATCGACCAACGTCTCGCGGACCGTCGTTTCGGCTTTTCAAAACCAGTGCGCCACTGCACGCCAACGCAGGGGGCACGAATAACGACGACTTTGTGCCAATCTCCCCAGCAACTTTGAATTGGGAGAAAATTGGGCCGGATCAGGATGTCTTCATAAGTGCTTTGTCTCAAAATGGCCATGTGAATGTCAAGGTCATCTCCGCGAAAAACATGGTGCAAGCCATCCGGGAGAAGAGAGAGCTCTCCGCAGTCTCTACGGAACTCCTCGGGCGTGTCATGCTTAGTGCCATGCTTGTCGCCAACGGCATCAAGGACGAAGAAACTTTACAACTTACATTCAGCGGGGACGGTGCGGCGAAAGGTGTGATGGCTATATCCGATGGAGCTTGCAACGTGCGTGCCTGGATAGGCAACAGCGATCTCGACGACCTGAAGGACCCGGAGACGGGGAGGGCAGACATCAAGGCCGCCGTGGGGAAAGGAACGCTACAAGTCGTCAAAAACCATCCCTCCTGGCGCATTCCATACAACGGCGTGGTGCAGATTGCCTCGGGGGAGGTAGCGCCCGACGTCGCCTTCTATCTGGCCTCCTCGGAGCAGCGGAATACGGCTCTGGGCGTGGGCTTGTCCTTGGACCCAAAAACGGGAGAAGTGGAGTCAGCGGGAGGTTTTTACATCGAAATGATGCCTGGTGTGGAGGAGGAGAGCGTGTTGAAGGTGGAGGTGAATTTGGCGGTGCTGAAAGAACGCTTTGGGAGTGTGGATCCGGGGGTCTTGTTCGCGGGGAAGCAGCCGGTCACCCCCTACAAGCTGGTCAAGATGCTCCTGGACGGTAGGTGGAACGACAATGAGGGGGTCGGATAGCTTTATGTCGTCGCAAGTAGGCAACCTGTCAGAAGAGGGGCTGTGGGGGCCATGGAGGCGACCAGGCACCCGCCACAATGGCCCGGGCTCACGACCGGGCCCCGCCTATATGACCCATATTCCCACCCCCAACCCTTTTTCTCCGAACACGCCTGACAGGTTTGGGCGTGGGGATGGCGGAAGAGACCCAGCCCGCCTACCGTTGCACGTGCTCAGCCGAGAAGGTGTTTCGAGCTGTTAGCCTTCTGGGAGAGGAGGAGGTTGAGAGCATTC